AAACCCGCCGCTCGCGCACCACCGGGGGAGTCCCGGCGCGTCTCGGTGCCCACGAAGCCCAGGACGGAGAAAAGTCCCCGGGTTTCTTTGCAGAGGGGTAGGGAGGAAAGGGGGAAGGTGCCTCGAACTGAGCTTTCAGATATTTGCCAAGGGAAGATTTGGCCAAATCCGGGTGATGGGAAACCCTTCTCTTAATCAACTCTGAACACTTGCTCGGTTTGGGAACTCATTCTTGTTTATTTATTTATTTTTCATATTGAAAAGAGCGGTTCGCTGTCTATCTTTTCCTTCTAGGGTTAACGTTTCATCGGTTTGTGGCCTGACATTTTAATTGCTCAAATACAGCATCTCGGATGATAAGAAGCACAAGTAGACTTCATCTCATTGTCATGACGCAATTAAAATAAAATTTCCTCAACTTTATCCTCCCTCGCTAGTTTTAGCTCACTTGCAAGCCAACGTCCTGCCACACTCAGTGGCAGTCGTGTTAAGAGGGAAAAGACCACTCTGCCCGCTGAAGGACAGGCGGAGGCAGGCATCCGCTGAGCCTCCCCAGCACACCCTCCTTGCAGACATGTAGGCACACATGTATCAGATGCACATTTGTCTATGTACACAGACAAAGACTTCTGAGACTACCCTTCTAGGTCACAGAACAGTTGAGGACAGACTTCATTGTTCTTCAAGTTCCTTTTAAGCATTCATATAGTCATTAAAACACATCCAGAGATTTGGCCCCAAATTGGAAATAATACCAGGACAACTCACAAAAACACACACAAGCCATATTCGCCCTCAAGAGTTACTGCAAAAAGAACAACTTCGTAGCTTATACCATTCTGCTCAGTATGCTAAAATCATTGATATGGCTGTGCCTTTGAATTCCAGGATGCTTGACTTAAACATCAAAGGTGTAGAGTTGCCTCCCCCACCCACTATATTCCATTGCACTAACCTTGCTGTTTGATTATAACCAGTTAGTGGATTATGATTATTCCACATGTAGACAAGAGAATTGTGTCCCCATCAAGGACACTTGGCACCAAGAAAAACTAAACCCATAAGCTAACATGGTTTATGAACAATTGTAATATTTAACACAAAAGATGTTGAGCTCCATAGGAAAAATAGGAATGCTATAAGGAGTAAATTGATGACTTCAGAAAAATATACTTGGTAGCTCAAAAAATTGATGATATAAAGGTGTTTAAAAATAAACCACACATGTAATCGACATGTGCAGACTGCAGTTTGAATTCACTTCCTTTTACACAAATAGACAGAATACAATGTAAAGACCAAGTGGGCAGATAGGGGCTGGTTTTCAGGGAAAGAAAAAACCCTCTTTAAACTTCATTCCTGAAACCCTCTCATTCCTCACCAAAATCACATATTTGACTTAAACTGCAGGTGCCGGAATTATTTGAGTGTTTTAAGAAATAACAGCCTATAATGATTACTGAACTTTCATAAACCTGACGAGCTATAAGACTGCCACACAGTGAAATCAGGCTGAGAATTTCAGAGTGATTAGAGACACAATATCACTTTTTTTTTTTTTCCTACAGAGAACAAGAAGGGTGGAAAAGAAATCATTTCAAGGAGGGTTTTGGTTTTCTCTCCCCCTTTCAACTTCTGTGAATCGGGGACTTGCCTAATGCTACAAATGTCACAAGGTTAGGGACAAGTTCACCAATATTGAAGCTGGGGTTCAGATAGGAAATCTAATGGGTATTCCCATCTCAATTTAATAGAAGATGGGAATAATTGATTATAGGGAAAGCTTAATCCTGCCTCTTGAGTGCAGAAACATCCATAGCAAATATCATTTTTTTTTGCACACTTGTGAAGGGATGATTTTGGAGAAGAAGAATTTCATTTTAAAAAATGTAAAGATTGTTGGAATTTCAAGGCCATAGATTGCAATGGAACTATTTCCCAACTATCTCTCCTATAGAGTTAAAGCCCGCAGGGCACAAGACCACAGGGTTACCATGAAGAAGTCAGAGCATTTCACTGTGTTTTAGGACTCATTCCCCTATGAAAGTGCTATTCAGAAGGAGGGAGAAATCATTGTAAAAAAAAAAAAAATGAAGTCAATTTTAGTGCAGGGACGAAGAGAGGACAGCAGTCTGGGAAGCAGAAAAAAAAAGAGGTGAAAATATTTTTAAATGTCTTCTCCAGATATGCTCATTTGCTTTAACTTTAAGATGAAGTAGCTCTCAGACTAAGAGATAAATATCACTATATGGCTATTGTTTTTCTTTTAAATCCAGTCCAGTCTTTTATTGAAGTTGTAAATTTATTTTAATGAGAGGAATGGCAAGCTTTAATTTTGCTGGTAAAAGTTGGAAAAAAAATTGTCCTAATCTTTAAACAATAATCAACCAGGAATATGATTTTCTTGCAAAAAGTGGCTGGAGGGTCTGTAATTCTTTACATATTAAAGCACAGTATGAATGCAGACCCCAGCCCACGCCGAGTTTAACTCTCAACTCAGAAGAAACCAGTTCCGTCCACCAGGATTCATTGAATTCCTCCTTTCCCTCAATCTAGTCCGTGTGTGTTTTTCTCTTCCACCACACTGGAGCTCCATGAATAGGGAAAGGGGCTTCCATTGTGCCCCTCTGAACTTCCAAGTCAATGCAATTTTTAACCACTGGCTTGTGGTACTTTGAAAATCACCAGGGGCTGTCAGAGTTGGGTCCTCTGAAAAATTTACAGTGCTAAATCAGAGCATATGCCGGGAGGGAAAAAATTGCTTAAGATTGGAGCAAGTACAGTATCTGTCTGCCCCCTAGTGTAAGAGTCCTCGCTGCCTAAAATTCAACTTTAAAAGAAAAGGATCTCTTAAAGGGAAACGACTTTGGGCTCACGTAGACATAGGAGAATGAAACTTCTGTACATTTTAATCTGAATAATTCTTCAGGATTTAAAATTAATTGGCTCTGGCTTGCTTGGACTGTACTCGGATCTCGCTGCCTCTGCGCTCCCAGAGTCACTGGTGGAGAGGTGATGATTTTTTTTTTTTTGAACTGGGTTTATGTGCGTCCCTCTCACTCCCCCCCCTTTTTCTTTCTCTCTGTCTCTGTCGTCTCTCTCTCTGGCTTTTTAAAAATGAGGAACCGTTCCTTGAACGTTTTGGACAGAGCACAGAATTGCTTCTTAAAGTCAGCGCGGCACGGTTGCGATAGACAGCAAAAAGGTAAACGTTGGCCCGAAACCCGCACGCCAGCTCCGCCACCCCGCCCGACGGTGAGTACCCCTTCTCTTCGCGGTTCTCCTCCTAGCTTAGCCGAGCGCTCCCTTCCCGAGAGGCGGCCGAGGGCGCCGGGCGAGCCTTGCCTCCCTCCCTGCCTGCCTGGCTGGCTGTCAGTTGCACAAGGTTGCAAAATGAGGCGCAGAGGCAGCGAGAACAGTAAATTCTGATACTCAGCGCGAGCCTAGCAGCTCCTTTGCTAGAAAACCGAGTCGTCTGCTGCTCGGAAACACCAGGCTCATAGGACTGTTTTTCAGTCTGTTCTTTAGAAGGACAAGAGTTTGAGGAGACAGGACGAGGAGATGGGAGGCACTGCGCAGTCTTTATGCTTCGGCTTAATCATATTTTGGCAGCGTTGCAATTGTATTTTCCCCCTCTCTTCCCTCTACCTCTCTCTTACCACACACATGTAATAAAATATGGCAGTGCACTGAAATGACTCTGTCCCCCTTCCCCAAACCCCTTCCGCCACAGTCCCAGGCATTTCATACACATTAGCAAACCGATCATCTGCAAAGCCCCAAGTCATCCCCAACCCCACACAGCACAAGGAGAAAAGTGAGAAAGGAGAGAAAGAGGAAAAAAAAAATACTGTAAGTAAACATACCAAAACCATATTTTCCTTGTTCAAGATCCCAAACCGCTTGCATCTTCCTTCTAAACAGGAATAACTCTCCTTTAGTTTGGCGGGTGAAATAAACGCTTTGTTGGCCCCCTGAAAAGATGTGTCTTTGATAATTAAAGAGAATCTCCTCCTCGGTGTTTATCTAAGCGATTGTGCAAACTGATAAAAAGTAGGCACTAGCCTGCAGGGAAAAAGAGGAAAGGTGAAGGGAGAGATCTTGCACCTCCAGGAAGTGCTTCCCCATGCATTAGGCGTTCACTCTCAGCCTAGTAAAACCCTGCACACTAACTTTAGAGAGACGAGGTTTCAGGGAGCTTTGTACATAGCTGCTGAGGAATGCAAGCCTCGCCTTTAAGAAAAAAAAACCCCAAACCGTAGGTAGGAGATGTCTGGAGTGATCCTTGTCTCTCATCTCATTCCTTAGAAGGAAGAGTGCGTTGTTACACCTTGTTTGGGGCTGGAAAGACGAGACTTTAAAAACACCCGTCCAATTGAAAAAAATCTCCCAACTTAATGAGTTCAGTCGGAGGCTGCAGCAGACGGCTCAGGCTCAGCAGAAACCGCCAACAACTATAGCCGATATTGCAAAGCAGGACGACCCGAGGCACAGCCAAATTCCACTGTTTGGGGTCGAGAGGGATGGAGGCTGATCCTAAAGCAAGTTGGGAAATAACAGAGGTGGGAGAGGAGGGGAAAAAGCAGCAGCCATGCAGACTGGCAGGCAAGCTCCTCTTACCCTGGATCAAAGATAGAACTTGAAACAGGAGGGCAACATTTTTCCTAGGAATCTGCTGGAACCCTCATTTTCCACTTTTAACTCAAGTCCCCCCAAGTGATTTTTCCCTCTCCCCTGTGGATTAGTGCCTCCCTCCCCTTTCTGGTGCCCATTCTAGAACTTTCCTGAACAGGAAATCTATTTCTTTTGGGGGAGGGGTTCCCCATTTCAAGCCTTCCTGGAATGAATGTTTAATTCACCCCTCCCTATATTATTCCCCCCCAAACGAATAAAAGATGAAGGAATACAACCACTAGCAAACACTGAAAATGAATTATGCTGCCTCTCCCAGTTTAATGCAGTTTTAACTAATGGATTTTTTGTTTTGTTTTAAGAGAAGAATAATGGGGAAACACGGACCTTTTATTTTAGGAAACTGTGATGGTAAGATGTATGTCAGACTTGACAAATGGAACTAACGCTCTTGGGCTGCTTCTTGTCCTTGTCTTAAACAGGAATTAAGTTAAACACAGTGCTGAATGTTAATTACATGTTTACTGGCTAATGAAAATTACAAATGGTTTTGCCACCTCAAACAATGATGAAAACTCCGAGGACACTGTAATTATATACTTTGAGGGAAATAACTCAGAATATTGATCATAAGAAGTGTAAATCTTTTTTAAACTATTCATTAATACCATAAATATGGGCTACAGAAGTTTTTCCTTGCGGTTTGTCTCATCAGTTCCACTGAGTGGCCGGGTGTGAGGGTCTGGGGGTGGTGGTGAACTCATTCTGTTAGAAGGAGGAGGCCACTTGTGTAACTTGGGGTGCCCCCTCCCTTTTGCTGTGCCCTCTCAAAGGTCGAGGGGTGGGGGAGCAGGCAGCCCAGCTCGGGAGGTGAAGGTGACCCCAGCATGGCCTCTGTCCCACCCTCTTCTCCCCTCCTCGCCCTCCTCCCTGTTTTTGCCAGGTCTGACGACGACCTCCTTCCCAGCCTTCCCGGCAGTGGGTAACCGGGCATTCAGGATGCCTAAGGGAGGACCAATTAGACCCAGCAACTCCCGCCACCCAGAGGTGCTGCCCTGCCCACCTAAGTTCACCCCTTCAAGGTGGCTGGAGCAGTTCCTTGCAAAAGAAGAAGGGGGAAGAACTTGGGGATGGAGGTGGCTGCTAGGTGAGGAGGCTCGGGCGGCGGGATCTGAGCCACAACTGGTTTCCTTGGGTTTAGGAGAGACTTTTGTTGTTGTTTTCTTCTCACTTTGACCAGAGTTGTAGCACTGGCAGTCGCTCCAGTCTCGAGGGTCAAAGGTGAGGGTCACACTAACCCTAAAGCCCAAGCTGACAGGAAGGCCAAGCAAGCAGGGTATGGGGGGCTGCCAGCCAGACTGCCTGGATCTTCAGAGGGGGTGCTTGTGAAACCCGCATGGGGGGGCACAGCGCCCAGTGCAGGTTTAAAGTGCAATATTGAAGATTTTTTTTTTTAAGTGTGCTATGCTTGTGGGACTGGAGTCTTCTTTTTTCCTGAGAATTCCCAAGGCATTGGTCTTTGTCTTAGAAGGAATGGAGTTTCTGAATGGTGTGAAAGGGACAGAGAGGGTCGCTTCAAATCGATTTTACTTGTCCTTTCTGTCTTTTCGGATCAACGCCCTTCAATGGGCACAGAGGTGCTCTTTCAACCAAAAACTTGTGCTACATTTTCTGCCTGTATTGGTGCTAAATACAATAAGCATTGGGCAGATTTTTTCTTTGCTCTCCAAAGCTAGAAAGCACCCTAATTAAATTGTTTTATATGGACAGTCAGGATAGACCAATTAAGCATGCATTAGTATAAAGATATAGTCTGCAGATAAGGCGATTTAGAAAACCATGTGCAGGACAAAGGGAGGCGCTAGCCTTTGGGAAGGGTACATGGACACAGTGGGGTCGAGCACCTTTCTTTGCAGGCTGCCTGGAAACTGCAAAGGCCGAGGGCCCAGGTGAGAAAGAAGCAGGCCGGCTAACAGGTGGGCACAGTGCGGGAGACTTTCTGGCTCTGGCGGAGGAGCCAGAGGGCTCGGTGCCCCTCAGCACTGCGCTGGCAGAGTAGCACCCTGAGGTGGTGGCGGGTCTCATTCGACACGATGGGACCGTGAAAAGCCCCACTCACTCTGGACCGGGTCCTCCCCCTCCGCCTGACCCTGACTTGCCGGGTCCGGGAGCAGCCCTGCGATACTGACACAGCCTGCACCCTCCCAGCCCAGGCCGGATGGGCCCCAGGGGAGCGGGCCCAAAGCCCTCCGTCAAGATCAGGGCCGAAGCCCTATCCACACCTCCAGCCATAGCGTCCTTTTGCTTCACGGAGGGAAGGAAAGTTCCCACCCGACGCCATCCGTCCCGAGGGGCGTCGAGGACCAGCCTCTGCCGGCCGGAGCAGGGGAGAGGCCGAGGGTCGGGAAGGTGGCAGCGGAGAGAGCCGCTCGAGGCTTCTCCACCCCTCTCCGCCCTGGGAGGTGTGGGCGGGCGGA